TTTGGTATTTTTAAGATCCAAAATGTGCTTTTTTCACATGCACATCAAAACTGTTTTAGATTAGATTATTTTTTAATGACCTCTATTTTGCTGGATCAGTTATGGACTTTTCAATAGACCTTCCTGCAATTTCAGATCATGGCTCTTTGACTCTCACTATGAAAATTAATAATTAGAAACCAGCAAATTCCAGATTGTAACTGAGTATTTCTCTCTTTACTCTTTTTGTGGAATATATTAAAAAGGAAATGTGTTCCTTTTTCAAAATTAATCAGGCTTCAAGTGATGCTTTAACTCTGGGATGTGGCATTTGTTAGGGCATCTATTTCTCCCTCAACACAAAGAAAAAAAAAGAGACTTTTAATTTTATACAGCTGGAACAGATGGTTAAGATTCAGTTTCATTATAGCCAGAAACCCCACAGGCAAATTATACTAAGCATTTACAACAACAAAGTTTAAAGTGGGGGTGTTTACATTCAGAAGAATTTGAATATTCTTTGAAATGCATTAAACAGAAATATTGAGAATCAGGAGAGAGAGTTGGAAGTTTTTGGCCTATCATTTAAAACAGCAGAAACAATGAACTGTATATCTGGAATTCAGACTAATGATGGACAATTATTTAATGAAACAGTTTTAAGTTTTTTATACTCAATTTTATTAACTTTTTAGGGAAGCTTGTCGGGAAGATGGATTCCTGCAACTCCAAAGTGCTCTGGAGGTAGCAGATTATCTGGACCGGTGGCAGTTGGATTTTGGCCAGGGCACAGCACTGGAGGAGCCAATGTGGTGTAGTGGTTGAGACACTAGAAACCAGAAGACCATTAGTTCTGGTCCCACCTTAGGCACAAAGCCAACTGGGTGACCTTGGGCCAGGCCCTCTCCCTCAGCCCTAGGAAGGAGGCAAGGGCAAACCATTTCTGAAAACTTGCCAAGAAAATTGCAGGGACTTGTCCAGGCAGCCTCCAGGAGTCAAGACTGATTTGAAGGCACGAAAAAAAAAAAAAAGCACTGAGATGGCATTACTCATGCTAATCAATTGCCTCTGGTAGGCTTGGGCAGCCTTTGATACCATCAATCATAGTATCCTTCTGGACTGATTGAAGGGATTGAGAATGGGAGGTACTGTTTCCTCGAGGCCAATTCCAGTTGGTGTTGGTAGGGGGGGAATATCCAGCCCTGGGCCCCTGCTTTGCAGAATGTTTCAGTGCTTGGCCTTCTCCCTGTTCCTATTTAATGCTGGGTGTCAGCATGGGGTTAAATATCATTGGTATGCTGATGATATTCAATTGTACATCTTTGCCCTGGCCTGGCTGCTGAGGTGCTTTCCCAGTGCCTAGAGGTTATGCAGGTCTGGATGGGGAAGAACTGGTTTTGGCTCAACCTTGACAAGACTAAGTCGCTGTGAGTTTTAGCCCCCCTTCCAAATCTTGTGACTTTTGCTGTTAACCCTAAATGAGGTTATATTTCCCTAGTCAGAATTAGTGTGCCACCTGGTTTTGTTGTGAGCCTTGATATGGATTTGTTTGTGGGTGTTTTTTGGTTTAATGGAATTCTTTCTGCTTATCTTTGCTGCTCAGAATTTCTTGGATAGACGAGCAGCCGTATAAATTGGATAGGCAAATAAATAAATAATAGATAAATAAATATTGTGTGGGTATTTATACTTCTATTTATCAAGGGGTCTTTTTTGTTATATTTAGCTCATTTTAATTACTGTAACATATTTAGGGTTTTTTTCCCCTTCACTGTATAATCATTACTTGTAGACTTGTTGCTTTTGTATATCATTTTAACAGAATCAGTAAATAAGTATAATAAGTAAAAATGATTTTGAAAAAGATTAGTGATAGTTGCATGTTGTGTTCCAATGAATGACTATGCTGAAAGAACTAGGGGTGAGTTTTGGGGAAAACTATACAATATTCGGAATTAATGTAATATAGGGGAAAAGTTATTCTGGTAGGTGACATGAATGGATGAGTAGGAGTGAGATCGAAGAATACAACAGAAGAGTACAGCATTCCATAGCCTGACACAATCAGCACAATCAAAGGCCTTTCTATAATCACTGAAGCACATAATTCTTTTTAGTATTCTTTGGCTTTCTCAATTATCCAACATGCATCAGCAATAATGTCTCATGTTTCTTGCTTTTCTAAAGCCATCTTGAACATCTGGCATCTCTCTTTCCATGTATGGTTCTAATCTGTGTTGGATGATCCTAAGCATTATTTTGCTAGCATGTGAAATTAAGGATATTGTATGATAGTTTGCACACTCTGTTAAATCTCCTTTATTTGGTATTGGAATGTAAATTGATCTCTTCCAATCTATTAGCCACTGTGTTCTCCAGATTTGCTGGCATAGCTTGGTTAGAACTTTACTGATTCTTCTTAGCAATGAAGAAATCATTGGTTTGGTAGAAATTGATGTTGTTTCCTGCTTCATTTCAGTTTCCTAGGCCATACATTCCAACTACATTTTCCTCCATGATATTTCCAACTTTGGCATTCCAGTCTCCAACCACAAGAAGCACGTCTTGCTTGCATGTTCTGTTGATTTCACATAGAACTTGACCATAAAATTCATCAACCTTCTCTTCTTCTGCGTCAGTGGTTGGAGCATAAACTTGTATGATTATCATATTAAATGGTTGTCCATGACATCTATTTGATATTTGGTTATTAATTGCATTGTAGTCAAGTACTGTTCTTGCTATACCCTTCCTAACTATAAAAACAATGCCATTCCTTCTTTGTTTTTCATGTCTTGTGTAGTAAACGGTGTGATCTTCCAACTGAATGTTTCCAGTCCCAGGCCATTTCAGTTAACTGATGCCTAAGATGTCAATGTGTAGTTCTTTCATTTCATCTTTCACTGTGTTGAGCTTTCCCATGTTCATGTTTCTTATGTTCCATGTTCCCACGGTAATTCTGCCTTTGCACCTTTGGGTTTTCTTTTCCTGCATGGCAACATCAGCAACTAGACACATCAGAGGCTTTAATCTAACCACACCATAAGTACATAGAACGATCCTCAGCTCTTCCTCAGTAGCATATTGAGTGCCATCCAACCTGAGGGGTGTAAGGTTTGCCCCGTTCGACAGAGAAACTCCCGTGACACGTGTGGTTCACAAAAGAGGTTTACTCATG